TTATTTTACATTACCTCGCTTAATTCCGAAAAGCAATTGAATATTACATAATGAGCATCCATTTTCTTTGCTTGGTTCGTTCCATTTACGTGCCCGTCAAAACATTACAATACAACAGCGCTCCGGCGGGTAATAGAATGTCATCGCGTAATATAAAAGTGGGCCGGGGAAATATGAAAAGCAATTGTTTGTAGTAGGTTAATAAAAACGCGCCGGTTGTTCCATTTGCTCGGTGCACGGCAAATCTATTCGTTTTTATTCTGGCTCCGGAGCAGAGTTTGGGCGGAGCTGCAATTCCACTGTTCAGCTATATTTAATGCAACAAATACAAGTACACCCCTTTTCACAATTTACCGAAACATGGGCCGGAATTTCAGGCGATAATTTTCCTGATAAAGAAGTCGCTTGTACTTTTGCTGCAATTTATTTTGTTGCTTAAATTTAGCCTTACTACGTGCTACTCTTGCATGTCCTGCTCAAGTATATCGATTCCGAGTTACATCCGAATAATCACCGGTATTTAAAAATAAAAAAATAATTTTTGTGTCTGAGGTTGATTAAACTACGAAAATAATCATATAGCTTCACAATGCTTTTCAAGTTTAAACCAGAACCCAAAAATACAACCTCAAATTCATCAAACCTAACTTCAAAGTAATACACTGACTCTTTTCTAAATCTATAATTACTTGAAAACTATTTTTTTGAGCTTATATTTCCTAACTCTAAAGCCTAAACCTTCACCCATAAAAACCTAACCCCAAACCCTCAAAAACCAACTTCAAGCTGTTAAAACTTGAGCTAGAATTTGATAGAATGTATATGTCCCAAACCAAAGAATAAAAGTCCTTGAAAACTATTTTCTGGAACAAATATTTTTTATTTTTGAAGCCCCTAACCTCTATTCTTAAATATCTAACCTCAAATCCAAGAAATCTGAACTAGAAAGTCAAATGAAGGATATTTTCCAAACCAAAGAATGTGACTCCTTGAAAACTCGATTTTGGAGCTAATATTACTGAAGTCTCGAACCTATGTTATGTCCATAAAACCTAACCCAGAAAAATAAGTGGATATTTATATACAAGCTGTTACAAATTCGCTTCTCGCCACATTGATCGCGAAAACGGTAAGAGATACAAACTAGCTTAAATGGGGGCAAAGTTGCGTAATCATGGGACCAACATTATGCCTCTAAAAAATCAAGGCTAACATGATTAATTTTCGAAATATTAAAAAAAACGAAATTTTGGAAATCCGTTTTTGTTTCATTTCAGCCTTGTTTGAGGTGATATTGAAAAAAGAAGAACCCTTTCTCATGGCCACTTTTTGCCCTCTATCGAACGGCATAATCAATTTTTATATGTAACGTTTCGTCTCTCCAGGACCATCATCAATTTCATTTGTTTTTAAATACGACCCTGGAAATTTTATTACATTTTTTGCAAGCCTTCATGACCCCCAATACTGTACTGCCTCAGCCCGAACCAGATTCAAACGTTTTGTCTCGAGAAATTCATCTTCAGTGTATTCGTTCCAAAATCTAAATTTTTTTTTTAGATTTCTTTGTTTATTGAATTGTCGTACCTCTTACCGCTTCCGAGATCCCTGTAGTAAGAAGCGAATTTGTAACAGCCTGTATAGATAAAATTTCATTCGAAAAATTATAAAAATTTCAACAATTTCAGTTAAAAACTCAAACACAAAATCTATATTATTTGCCGAAATTATTCGATGGACTGCATTTCGTTATCTTTATTTATGTAAGACTTAAGCTCAACCGTGTCAAGGTAGCAGTCTTTAAAAGAGTTGTTTTTCTGTTTTTTTAAATTTTTATTTATTTTTTTGTTTTTTGGTTTGTTTTTGTTTTTTTCTACTTCTAATTTTTATTCATTGTTACAAAAATGTCAATTTTATTTTTAAATACCGAATCTTTGGTGTTGAGGCTGATGGATTCTCACTCGATTTAAAAAATTCCTATATATAGATATATCAAATTATCGCACCATAAATTAAGCATATTTGAAGAAGAATAAAAAAGAAATTACCACTGTGCGTCATCGGTTTAGGTTTCTTGACTCTGAAACTGGAGATTAAATCTTCTGGCTGATATTTATATCTGCTGCGGCTAGTAGTCATTGGCCGGTGTCGCAGTGGGGCAGCAAAAAGGTGGATAAAAATAAAAATTTGTAGAAATCAACCTGAAAGGGTTTATGGAGTCGCTGATTACGAATTTGGGATCAAAATTACAAAATTCAATGTGGAGGATTAAATATAGCCATATCAGAAGTAAAAAATTTTTGAAAAGAAGAATTTTCCGAGTCGTAGATTAAGAATTTAAAGTTATAAAATACAAAATGGTGGATATAATATGGCAAACATAAGAAATCAGTCAAATAAAAAATTATTAATTAAAAATTGTTTATTTATAAGAAAATAATTATTTTTTAAACAAAATATAATTTCAGAACATTGTATTCTTTTTAAACAGCAAATATTAATTAAAATAAGGTTACATTTATTAAACGTGAAGAAAATGTAAAAATGTCAATTGACATAAAACTATTGATGCACACTATTAAATAATTATTGGAAACTCTTTATTTGAATCCCGTGCCAAAGTTACAATATAAAATTATTTTTTTTTTATAAAAGAAAAGAATCACCGTCAGATGAAAAATCTTCATTTGTAGCAGCATCAGCATCCGTCAAATTTTCTGAAGTTGAAACAATTTCTTCTTCATCCGCAACCTTTTCATGTCTCATAGTTGGAGGTAATAACAATGTTATTGCATCTGACGACAGTGATCTAAGCTGTTTTGTAAGTAGGTAGTTGCCTACAACTTGATATAGATCTGATATTAGAAATCTTGAAAAATTTTCATCCAGGGTCTTTGTTCTCGAGTATTTGCGTTCGCGATATGATTTTCGGAGATGAACTTCATTTTATTTTACATTTTACAAAAACCCATATAAAAACTTGTTAGGCATTTAAACATAGCTGTTTTTTTATTTTACAAATAATAGTTTTGTCTTTTATATCTAATAATTTAAATTACAGAATTCTGCAGAATTTTAAACTTCTTTCTTCAAAACTAAATATTTTTTCATTTTATTATAACGTAAAATTCACGTAAGTTTAGTAGGTTACTATTTTCTATAAAAATATTGAGTACTTTAACCTGCCTAATCGCAATCTACTTACTTTTATGACTTGATTCCATTTTGATAAAGATATGTAAATCTGACTCTAATACTAACGGATTGAGACACGGGATATTACTCTAGCCAACCCAACAGTAGAAACTAGAAACTTTATTTTTTAGTTTTTGGTCAGCTTTTTGGGATTTTGCCAAACCGTGCGGTACTTGATTTTTTACGGATGAGTCGTGTCCAAATTCCAGGTAGTTCCTCCAGTAATTCTTATATCTCTGAAACTCTGAAAATATCACGATCTTTTTGCATTTTTATATTTTTTCCTTAGAAGCCTTGGTCCAAATCTTCTCTCTCACCTATTGCATGTCCTGAATCTGACATGCGCTTCCTAACTGCTAACTTTTCTAGGTTGTTATTTTTTAAATGATCTTTAACATCATACTGACGTATTTTCCCATTTATTCCATTTCCACATTACACGATATCCTCAGACATCAGATAGGCTAAACTAACAATAGAGTTCTGGTGAGAGGAGAGGATTTTGGCCAACACTCTACATGGAACGACGCAAACAACAACTACAAGCTCATGCATCAGAACCAGAGTCCAATGCACACAGTAAATATGTATAAATACCAGTCAGAGGACTTAATCTCCACTATGAAATTTTCTTCTAGAGAAGAGCGATATATATAGANTTCTCACATTTCAAGAGAATGTTTGCCCTCGGTCCTACATGTAAAACACTGATACATTACGTGTTATAGAATTATAAATAATATTTTCGAAAAGCCGTTTCGTTTTTACTGAGCATTTTTCTTCTATGGACTTATATATATATATATATATATATATATATATAAGTATATCTCTCCAAAAGTTAATATTTTGTTCAACTATTGAAAGTAATTTACCTGTGTTATGTTAAAATAAAATTCTAAATTAAAATCGTTATAAGCTGATGCGAAACGTATCCAAAAAGTATATTTATGAGGTGTACAATTAAAAAGATTATTCAAAACTAAAAGAGACTTATGCTTGCTTAAACGTTGCTGCTATATCTTGTGGTGGATGCCAGTTAATTTATGCACTAGGCTTTTTTGGCTTATCAAAGGGACAACATACTTCATTCACGTTCAGAAAAAAATCTTAGCAGGCGGAAAGTTTTGATTTTCATGAAGAAGAAAAAAAGGAAAAAAGAATAATTATACGTGTCGAAATAATTATTTTCTGTGAAGAAAGGAGGATAGAAGAACATAATAAATACACTGGTAGTCTTGAACTCTAATCGTCTGCTTTTGAAAATGTAGATTTTATAATTAGATTTTCTAGAGGATTTAATGATATCGATCTACTTAACTTGCTCTATAACTTGCTCTAATAAATTGGAAAATTGAGGGAATCTTTATCTATAAAACTTGTAAGGTGTAATATAGTATTGTTTGTAATTTTTGTATCAATTTAAAACTTATACATACAAAAACTGTATTTGTCCTGTAAAAAAACTGTTAACTGTTTTTTTTACTTTTGTACTTTAGTAATTTATGATTTTGTTAATGTATCTATTTTTATTAGCTATTTCTCCCACCTATTAATTGGTTTTAACTGTCAGGTGGTGTAAATTAAATAAACAAATATAATAAATAAATAAATAAAAATCCGTTTATATTTGTTTGTAGAAACAGAACACACGAGTGGTAGAATGAAAAGCATTTATGCATGTATGAAACTATAATTAATACATTTTATATTTCCAACTTATTACCTACGTATTAATTAATTAATCAATTTAATTTAGTTTAATACAATTTCATGTTATTACACATAGTGTCTACATACGTCAAAACACAAAAAAGACACATTAAATAAAGTAAAATATACCATAGCCTTAACTATAGTCACAAAATGGCATTAAAATGTGAATAATTAAAATAGTAAATAAAATATAACAACAAATAGGCTTACAAAAAATTGTTTAATATCTTAAAAGGCATTATTTAATCGAACTCATTTCTAGTCTGAAATGTGCTCAGATTTTATAAATAAAACTATAATAACTAATTTTTTTAAATATTTAATGATAGTTTACCAACCAGGTTCCGTAGTAAATACAGATTTTTTGCGATTCAGTTTTTTGTATATCTAGATTCTAAATTGCTATCAATTAATTTAGAATCCAGATCCAGGAATTTAGCAAAATGTGTATTTATGCCACTATCAATTCCTCTTAAGGTAAATATGATGGTCTTAGTCTTAGCTATATTTAAAGAGTGTTTGCACTTCTGAACATTTGACTGTAAACTAGGAATATTATCTAGTAAGTATAATAATTTTTTATTTATTATATATGTTAGTGTCATCAGTAAATAGAATATTTAAGACGTCATTATTTAATGAATTCAGGAAATCGTTTGTAGGTATTTATTAAAAAAAATTGGTTCCAGTACAGATCCTTGAGGTACTCCATGTTTGACATACTTTAGTTAAACGGGAATTTTTATTGTTATACTCCACTGACGGTTTGTGACATACCTATGATTTCTTCAATTCTACTGTTTACAGTAAACCCACCACATGATTTCAGTTTATCAATGAAAATCTTATGTGATACACAGTCAATTTTTTTAGTAAGATCTAAAAACTGAGAACCTTTTTCGAAACCTTCATTTATGAATGTTGTTAGTTTTTCGATTGTTAGTCGAGCACTTATTAAGAAAACCATACTGGTGGTATTAAGTGACTTATCATTCGGATATAAAATTATAAATCGTTATAAAGCAGTAACTACGTATGGTAATACTTAGAGATAATTATTTCAGAATGATAAACAAACACTCGTTTTAGTAAATTAGTGAATTACATTCTAGGAGGTGGTCCGTTATTGGGTACAACAATTGTACTTGACAATGGGAATTTTGATTCTGATGACAAACAACTTAAACTTATTTTCAAACTATTGGGAGTTGTTATTCCCACGCATTTAGAACTTACTGCCTGTACGCACGCCACTGTTACCTGAAATAAATTAGAGCACGTCAATACACACAGTTCCACCTTAATATTAAGTAAGTTAATATTAAATATGTAAAGAAGCACTATTATTACAGAAAGTATACATATACCACTACATAATTATTTAATTATATAATTATAATTAAGTATAATTAAGTGATTAGAAATCAAACCTGTCTATCTGATGCAGAAGATTTATTCACAGTGATAACGTCGAAACAACCAGGATTCACTGCCTTTTTCCCTGGGCATTCCAATATTACGGTTTCAGAAGTATCAATCGTGAGACCCAGGCAGTTGCCATAACCTGCTGTATCCACAAGTTGCACCTTATGAATTTGATGTCTTGATACTTGAGGGTTGTGTACTGATAAGGGCTGTCCAACTCGAAAACTGTATTCTCCTGCACTAAATATTTTTAAAATATCTGGAAGGGATTGGGGTCCGTTTTTGTCCCCTATTAAAATAAAAATAAAATTAATATTTCTCTTTTATTAGATCTAAATCCTATGACCTTTTAGATCAATGGGCCCTTCTAGTAAATTCCAAAAAAGTCAGTTTGAAAGAGAGTACGTAGTAATCGAAAAAAAAACAGTAATTAAATTATTATAGCTTTTTGCACTATTTCTACTTTTTTTAAGTGTTTTCCAAACCTCCGCATCCAGGAATACCATAACTTCCACTAAAGAAGAATATATTACTTTTATATCATAATACAACCCTATGAACTTGAAATTTAACTATTAATATCTGTATTTTTAATACAGGGTGTCCCGAAATTCATGCAACAAAATTTAGATTCTTAAGACAAATTTAGGGAAACCGTATTCTTTCTTTTTGCCAACTGGCCCCCTCTTTCGGAGTTATAGCCTCCCATTTTTGTAAATGGATTATTTGCAGTACAAAGCATTGTGGTCCATTATTACATAATAGTCCAATTAAATAAGCCTTTAAATAGAAATTTTGGTCAACTTGCCTGAATTTTTGATATGAGTTAGTTTGAGGTATGTTATAACAATACGTAACAGTAATTTTTTGTTCAACCCCCGGCCAAGGGTGAAAAAAGATAAAACAAAGGGGTTTTTCAAGATAACTCAAAACGGGTAAGGGCTAGAAAAAAAAAGTTTCATATAAAAGTTGTAAAGTATACAATTCTACATAAAAAATGGCCTCTTGATTTTTTCTTGTATTATTAAAATTAACATATCATAACATTAACATTAATAAATCCGTGACATAATTGAAAAAGTTTATAGTACCTTGAATAATTGTTGTAATTTCATATTCAGTGTTCTGCTTGTATCTAATACTAATAACAATGAGAAATTGCTCATTTGCTAATAATAATTATTAAAGATGTTATGGAGAAGAATATAAATGTTTAATTTAACATCATTTTAATTTAATATCAATCACTTTTTCATTTGTTATTTCCTAAATTGAACCAAAAATCATTTGTGTAAACATAGATCTAAATTTATCGATTTGAGGAAGAAAGTTGTTTTGCAGAATTAATTTATATTAGTCTTATTTTTAATGGAAAAATTTGTATAATATATTTTGGGTTGGAGTGGAAGAATTTGAGTCCTCGACGGGACAAATGACCAGGACACATTAATATGCTAGTATTTGGCCAAATATAGTATAGTTAATTTAGAACACCTGTAAATATATAAATACTAATTTTCTTGAAAAGAACGGAACAGAGTTCTCTATCATAATATAGTGAATATGGACGCCAAATTTTAAAACTATTAAAAACTTTAATGTTTATTTTTGAATGCTTGATATAGTTTCAAAATATTTTAATAATTGTTCACAATATAGTGTTCCAACGGATTCTGTCTCCAAACATTGTACCAATTTTTTCAGTTTTTCAGTAGAGTTTAATAAAAATATTTTTTAGCTCACCCTTCAACAAATCACGAATAAAACCAGGCAACATCAGAAAAAGTGTTTTGCCAAAAAATTTAAATATTGTAAAATATGTATGAATTATCTAAAACCCTGTTCCTAATTAAGTGAAATACACCGTATACAGTATTGCGAAAGCTGGGACCTACATTTATGTTTTAAGTCACCCTCTGTAAGAATACGTTGGGATGTTTTCAAAAAATATCTTTCACATATACCTAAATAAAAAGTTATGCATTTAAATTTAACACATTGCATATAATCAAGTAATAAAATAACTGTTCAACTTACCATAACAATATTTGACGAAGAAAAAAAGAAATATCGTTGATTTTTTGGTTAAAAGCATCTTTGGACGATAGTACCGCTACGTTAGCAAAGAGAACACAAAACTGCCAGTAACTGGTTGTACCTACCTGCTCAAATAAACTAACAGCAAGCACTTCTAATCTCTTACCCATCGGACGAAACAAGTTATTGAATTAAAAACTGCATGATTTTTACCGTGGCCCACAGGATCTGGCTAATAGTAGGTGTTTAAAATACTTGGATACGTTAGATATAGGTATATTCTAAATTATTGAAGAAAGAGAGTTTTAAATTAAATTTCAGCCCTGATGTTGTGTGGACTAGGACAGTGGGAAATACGGATTTATGAAATCTAGATTGGAAGCATTTTTCTACTATACAAAAAATAGGAACAGTAAAATTTCAGTTAAATTTACGACTGACGACAATTATAGTGATCAGTTTGGTAATAGAAGATCCAAAGATTTTGGAATATACAAGGTGTTCCACCTAAGAGGGATTCTTATGTAACTCTGCAACTGTAAAATTTATAAAAAAATAGTTTTAATAAAAGTTATCTGAAATTATGTGGGTCATGTAAGGAAAATATTTTTTGATTTACAGGGTATTCTATTTCGCGTGGGCGCTATATAACTTTGTTATTTTAAATGGAACACTCTGTATATTATTGCATTTTTGAATTCCTTGGTTAATACTAGGTAGAGTTTATTAAATGTATATGGTGCTTAAAACTTTCGTTTTCGAGATAATCAGTTGTTTTTTAAATAATCACGATTTCAGCTCTCTAAATGAGGCTAGATAACATCTAAACCGTAAGAGTTAGAAACCTGCAGTTTTCACAGTTCGTTTTGGCATAATTTACTCTATCTTGTCATCTGTGAGCAAAATGTGTACCTTATTCAGACTCGGAAATACTAATGCCTACATTTAATAATCTTACGAGTTGAAAAACTCTATTTTTTCAAATGGAATCACCCATATTAATTATCATGGGTAAATGCAAACTTGAATGCCCTTTCCACAGGTTGTCCATACTTACCTTTAACAGTTTTCCAGAAAAATCAGGTTCATTTCTAAAATTCGAAAAGGTAGCTATATAGCAGCGTCAAGGCCTTGCAAAACCACTTTTCTCTCACATTTTTTTAAACCTGGGATTGACAGTGTCAATATTTATTGGCATGTTTAAAAAGTGGTTCGATAAACAAAACAAAACGCAAAACGAAACAAACTGAAACTCGGAACACAGCAAGGAGAAGAATACTTAGACCGTTGATTTACATCAATTGCTCGAAGTTTCCTCCATATTGATTAACACACAAACGAATTCGGTTTTTAAAATACTGTTCAACATTGGTCAGCATGTCCAGCGTAATTTCTTGAAATGCTACTGTAATGCGCTGTCACATATTTTCCGCAGTAGTTGGTGGTGTAACGTAAAAAGAAGTAGCAACTTGTTATATCTGGTCCCCGCTCCCAATCCATCTCTTGGAAAAAGTTTCGTGTAAAAACTAAAGAACCGCAGCGGTATTGTGAGGTGTGTAGCAGCATCATGTTGTCACCTAATAAATCTTTTAGAGTGTTTGTTAAAAAGTTTTAGAACCAGCATCTAACTGCTCCAGTTAGATGTTGGTCAAAAAAGAATGTTCCAATGACATAGGTTCCCAAAATTGCTCCCCACACGTTCAAAGACCATCGTTGGCTATGACTTGTCCGGAATTGGTGAGGATTTACTGTGCCATAATAATGGCAATTATGACTATTAACGAAATCATTTTTATGAAAAGTAGCCTCATCGGAAAACATGACCCGGTTAAAAAAATCATCATCTTGGTTTAACATCTCAAGGATAAGGATATGCTGTGCTGTGTTTTTGTAAAATCTTATGTATCGACGTTGTACTAATACAATTGCAAGGCCTTCTTGACGCTGTTACATAGTTACTTTTTCGGACTTTAGAAATGAACCTGATTTTTCCAGAAAACTGTTAGATATAATTATGGACAGCCTTATATCAATCGAAAGGGCATTCAATATTGCATTCATCCATGATAATTAGTATGGGTCATTTCATTTGAAAAAAAAAAAGTTTTTCAATTTGTAAGATTATTAAATGTAGGTCTCAGTATTTCCGAGCCTGAATAATGTACATGTTTTGCTCACAGATAACAAGATAGAGTAATTTATGCCAAAATGAATTGTGAAAACTGCAGGGTTGTAATTGTTACGGTTTAGACGCAATATAGCCTCATTTAGAGAGCTGAAATCTCGAAAACGGTAAGTTTTAAACACCATGTAAATTTAACAAACTCTACCTGGTATTAACCAAGGAATTTAAAAACGCAATAATATACAGGGTGTTCCATTTAAAACAACAAAGTTATGTGGCGCCCAAGTGAAATGGAACACCTTGTAAAGCTAAAAATAGTTTCCTTTACTTTCTTTACATGACGCACATGATTCCAGACAACTTTTATTAATACCATTTTTTTTATAAATTTTATAGTTATAGAGTTACAGTATGCTAAACCGAAATAATTATATAAAAATGTATAAGGGAGGCAAAAATAGCGTCTTTTGATAAAATTATGAAATATTCATATAATATAAAATAANAAGAGGGTTTTAAATTAAATTTCAGCCCTGATGTTGTGTGGATTAGGACAGTGGGAAATACGGATTTATGAAATCTAGATTGGAAGCATTTTTCTACTATACAAAAAATAGGAACAGTAAAATTTCAGTTAAATTTACGACTAACGACATAAAAATACAGACGACAATTATAGTGATCAAGTTGGTAATAGAACATCCAAAGATTTTGGAATATACAGGGTGTTCCACCTAAGAGGGATTCTTCTGTAATTCTGCAACTGTAAAATTTATAAAAAATAGTTTTAATAAAAGTTGTCTGAAATTATGTGGGTCATGTAAGGAAAATATTTTTAGATTTACAGGTTATTCCATTTCGCGTGGGCGCTATATAACTTTGTTATTTTAAATGGAACACCCTGTATATTATTGCATTTTTGAATTCCTTGGTTAATACTAGGTAGAGTTTATTAAATGTACATGGTGCTTAAAACTTATCGTTTTCGAGATAATCAGTTGTTTTTGAAAAAAATCACGATTTCAGCTCTCTAAATGAGGCTAGATAATAAATTGCCTTTATTGAATCCTCATATGACAATACAAAAATTGAGCATCATATAAAGAAAAGTGAATATGAGGAAGGGGGCGAAGTGTCAGCCGAGACTGCTTTTCAACTTAACCCCCCGAGAGAAAATAACATATGTATATGTTGTCACATCCGGGTATAATCATTCCAATAAATAAACGTACAAAATAAAATCATAGAACAAATGTACGAAAACCATTAAAGCAAAATGTAGATAATAACTAAATACAAAAATAAACTAAAGAAAAAGCTAAAAAAAAAGAAAAAGAGAAAAAAGTTAAATTATGCGATATAATAATAAGAGCGACGAAAACCTGGTCAATCACTGGTACGAGTCCCATGCGAGAGATAATGCTTTATTTTTTTCTTGAAATTCAGTATTGAATGGTTTTTAAATTCTACAGGTAAAGCATTATAATTCTTGCAAGCCTAATAGACAAAGCTTCTAGTGTATAAAGCAGTGGCGTGGTGAGGAATTTCTAAGAGACGCGAGTAGCGAGATTTAAATGATGCAGATTCTTTGTGGAGCCTTTGCAATTTCCTGTATTCAGGAGTACTACTGATCAATATCTTGTGACTAAGACTTAATAGATGCAATCTCCGAGTGTTTACAAGGTTAAGATAACCGTTATTTCGAATTAAGTCGCTCACACCTCGTTCGAATTTTCTGACACCGTACGCAAACCTAAAGCAACTGTTCTGAATTCTCTGTAATCGTATTATATCAGTATTTAGAAGGGCTGGCCCATAAACACAGTCACAGTACGACAATCTTGAAAAAAATAGAGAAACACATATGTTAATTTTTAACTTCGCCGTGCTCATTATACTTCTACGAGGATAAAGTTGCTTTAACGTAATATAAGATGAGCGACAAAGAGTATTTACATGTTTAGTGAATCTTAACTCATCATCAAACAAGAGCCCCAGATTCTTCTACAAGACAACTATCAGCAACGTCTAACACAGTGTTTCCCAATTTAACATTGATCTGGGATTTTACGGTGCATCTTTTCTTTTTGGGACCAAATACTAACACTTATTTGGACTTATTTGGATTCAATTGTAACCTGTGAGCGGCTGAGATATTAAGTAATAATGTTAAATCATTATTGAAGAGTTTGTATCCCCTACAGGAAAACTGTAATAAACTTGTGAATCATCTGCGTAATGATGCACTCTGCACGTGTTTAAATATTTATAGAATTCGGCAATATATAAGGAAAACAACAGAGGCCCCAATATGGACCCCTGAGGTACCCCATGAGTCACCGGCAAAGTGTCGGACATAATTGAGTTCACAACAACTTGTTGTGATCTCCCGGTCAGATAACTACGAATGTAGGAGGAAGCGGTGATGTCAAAGCCTAAATAAATGAGTTTATCGCATAAGATATTGTGGTCCAATGTATCAAACGCCTTACTGTAGTCTAAAAGAATGAGACATGTGACTAGATCCTTGTCTGTAGCTTTAAGGATTTCGTCAGTAATATGCGCCAAGGTAGTAGTTGTACTGTGCAGCGGCCTAAAGCCAGACTGACAAGGGGGAATTATATTATTATCAAGAACAAATGGTGATATTTGTGATTTTAATATTAATTCAATCACTTTGGAAATAGTAGGTAAAATGCTTATCGGTCGAAAATGCCCCAGTTCAGATGGATTAGATAATTTAGGTAAAGGAAGAACATTAGCATTTTTCCAAGCATGAGGAAAAGTAGATGTCAGAATTGATGTATTAATAATAAAGGTGATATGATTTATAAGATGAGGTACAACAAGCTTGAGCATATTTAAGGAAATATGATCCGAGCCAGTGGAATGACTTTTGATCATACCGACACATTTGACAACATCCTCAGGGCTAATAGTATGAAAATAAAAAGTATTGTGTGAAGATGACGCCAAATGATATTTTTCTAGAAGCTTATTCTGCTCAGGTGAAGGCAATAA